GGGGGGGGGGGGGGGGGGGGGGAGGGAAGGGTCAATAACGACTGCGGCGAGGAAACGGGAGTCTTATTACGATTTTCCAACCGCGATCGGACGAACGCGCGTTGCGTGCGTTTATTTCTATTTCTGTAACCGCGGCCTTTCCATCCGCGGCTGCGCGGAACCGCGATCTCCCGATTGTTATCGCGCCGAAAATTTCACCGTTTATCATCGAGATAGTCACGCACTCNAAGATTTCTATTCCTTGCAGGTGAGAGTAACAGCGGATCTCTCGGCGTCCTCCTTCGCTACAGCGGCGACCTGCATGAAGGGCACCAGGTATAAACGCAGTTTCGAGTTTACGCAGTTTCGAGTTGGTACAAAACTAGTCGAGGCGTGACGTGTATAAATCACGAGGTAGAACGTTACACGATTCGAGCGTTAGATGCAATTAAGATTGAGCGTTGTTGTTTCGCCGTTGTGTCTCGCGCGGTATCGGAGGATCAAACGACGGCTCGTAGTTGTCACAGAAGGACGATTTTCACCCGTCTTTCACCCGTTTCTTCAGGCCTGCGTGGAGTCGCGGATCCCGGTGGAAATTTGCCCCCGCGTAAATTGCGACAGTTCGTTACCGGAGGGATTAACGGTTTAGTGGACTCGGATAGATGAACGGATGGACGGTCGCCTTATCGAAGGAACGTTGATTGCTGTTCGCCGGATACACACGTGGACGATCAATACTCATAACCGATCCTTCGGCTGTCCAAACAAATTCTCCGCTGTCCGAACGAATTTTCTTCGCTCTCGCTGTATCGACGTATCCACTCGCCGTTACGACAAAATTTCTTCCCCCCGGTGTTCGGAAAATTCCCCGCGCGAATTGCGACGGTCGTTATCGAGCGAAATGAACGGACCGACCGATCGACGGACGGACGGATTAATCGATTATTGATTGGCATTGATCCGGCGACGGGGAAGATAGGGCGACGCAAGGATGAGGCGGACCGACCATGACGGCCACGCTGTGCGGCAAGGCCCGCCGCCCTTCAGGGTGCTGGCCAGCCCCGACGTCGCTTACCTGCCGCCGCCGTCCTCGACGCCGCCGCCTCCGCCGCGCGCGCCCGAGCCCTACAAGATCGCCCCGTCGACGACGTCCTTCGGCCGGGCGCACCGTCGCTCCAGCTTCGTGATACTCGCCGAATCCAGACCGGCGACACCGGAATCCGCGGACGCGTCAGCCGGTCTGCCGACCGGCAGGGTCTCGCCCTTCCGTGGCCGCGGCTTCAAGGGACCGCCGCCTCGCTCCAGGTCGAGGCCGCAATCCCCGGAGGTCGCTACGGACGGACGTCGACGCGGCAGAATCGAGAGGAGGGGTAAGTCAGCGGGTTTCGTCGAGGTCCTCGGGGAGGATCTGTTGAGATATCACTCTCGGTCTTTCCTCAGCTGTAATCGCACAAGGAAATCATTACAATCGGCAAACCCCATGTTCACAGTAAACGCTATTACAGTTTAGCCGAGTGCAACCTTAAATGCATATTGCTACCACCTTACTAATCTGCCGTGGTTAAAATAAGAAAAGAAAGGACATCGTAGTCCCCGGAAATATAACGATATTTTTCCCCCGGCGTGCGTGAAATGGCGATACTCCGCGCGAAGTAACGCTGGAAACGGGACGACGAACGATGAGAAGACGAGAACGGTCGAACGACGAGAAGTGATCTTCACCGTTCAAACCTTCGTTCTTTCCAGCTTCGGTGTCGCAGCAGAACAGCCCGAGGCGGAGCCTGATACCGCAGCCGACGTATCGCCAGCGGTCGAGCTCTCTGACGAAGGCGAACGATCGTTCCCCGTCGCCGAGGATCGGCCGGCGGGTCGACTCGAGGACGCGGCTGAACGTCTCGAGCTCGCGGGACCGACTGAACGCGACGAACGAGCCCAGGTCGACGCGGCTGAACGACTCGAGGACGCGCCTGAACAAGTCCGACTCGAAGAGCCGCGCGAACCTCGGCGGCGAGCCGGCCAGGGCCCGCTTCGTCTCCGGCTCCACCGGCAACCTCAGCAATAATCCCGCGGCAACGCGTAATCGGCAAACGACGAGAGGGTCGACGCGACTCTCTCCGATCCAAGGCACCCCGACGAAGCCGGAGAAGGCGAGCGGTCAGTCCTTGATGAGAGGGGACCGCGCGAGGGACTCGTCGTCGAGACCGGTCGCGAAGACGACACCGAGGGCGTCGCCGCAGAAGAGCAACGTCGAGCGAACCCGGAGGGACAATCAGAACCGGAACACCAGCAAGGATCGCGTCACCTCGCCGTCCAAGATCCCCTTGAAAACGAGCAGCAGGAACGGCGCGCCGTCGAACACCGCCGGCAGGTTCATCACGATGCCCGAGCAGGGCTCGGAGGCGACCCGGAAGACGGACAGGGCGGTGAAAGAGGGGAAGAACAAGGATGAGACAACGGAGAACGGGCAATCGCCCGAGGCGAAGCCGAAGGAGGTGAACGGGGACTCCCCCGGGCTGCAGACTGATGAGGTGGACCTCATAGGCCTGCTGAAGCAGTCCTCGCCGCACACGATCGCCACGTCGAGCGAGCGTCTGGTGAACACCACGACGAGCACAGCGGTGAAGCCGCTGCACATCGACGCGAACGCGCTTCTCGTCGAGCGCACCGACGGCAGCTCGAGCCAGCCGAGGGACCCGTCTTCCGCCTCCCCCGCGTCGTCCAAGGACGCGTCGCCGGCTTCGACGCAGCAGAACGCAGCTCCGGCGAGGTCGACGATGGAGAATCAGCCGGCGGTCAAGGCGAGTCAGCCGAGCAACTCGGCCAGCGAGAAGAGGGAGTCCCCCGTCGGCGCGGAGAGCAGCCATTACTCGAAGAGCGGTCAGACGGCGAGGAACGCCTCCAGAGCGAACGGCGAGGCTCATCAACGTCCGAGCAATCAGTCTTCCGGTAATCAGCGCTCCGCTAAAAACGGCGCTCGCGGGCCCAAGCAAGCGGCCGACGCCGGCAAGCTCCTCGCGGAGGAGGCGGCGTCGTCGCCGGCGGAGGTCAAGAGCGGGTCGGCCGGTCGCGAGCTTCCGGCGGACAGGATGCCGACGGTGATGGAGAACGCGAGGCCGGGCGAGGGGATGAAGAGCACGCCGGCGACGAATAACGCGGCGACGACGAGGAACAGCGCGACGACGGTGAACAACACGACGGCCGCGAGCAGCAGGATGACGAATAGCGGGGCGAAGGCTGGTAATCACGACAACCAGCACGCCAACTCCGCGGCGGGCGGTGCAGTGAACGCGAGTGTGAACAGTGGGGCGCGGCCGAGGAACGAGAACCGCGGCAGCGACGCGTCCCTGAAGTCCTCCACCGGCGTGTCCACGGACTCGATCGAGAGCGTGAGGTCGACGGACACCGGGGTGAGCGTCAACACGGTCAGGGGGGTGTCCTCGCCGAGGGAGAAGACCGGGGTGCACGTGGTGAAGCGGCAGGAGATCGAGACGCTCAGCGGCAACGTCGTCTGCGTCGAGCAGAACGGCGAGCCGGCGTGAGTATTTTCTTTGATGCGCCTTGCAAATTGGATTTCTCCGCCCGTCTCGTTTTGCGAATTTCATCGACTTCACTTGAGTTTCATTATTCGTCTTCTTTTCTTTTTTATCACAAAGCGAGACGCGCGAGAGACCTGTCGTGTTTTTCCGCTTCGGTTCTGATCCGCGGGACGATTATTGATCCGCGCGTTCAAGAGGAAGTGAGGCTTCGTTAGGTGTTTGGAAAAATACCGAGTCGCAATGTGTTATCCTGATGTTAGGGTGGTGGCGAATATTTCCTGTGTATTAAATTTTGTCTTGTAAAAGCCATTGACGCGGATAGGAATCTTGTCAGGTGTCTTGAAAGAAAGCGAGTCTATATTGATTGTTTTATCGGTAAAAGTGATTGAGTTTTATTTTGAAACTGTAGATAGATTTTGTCTTGAATTTTATCGACGGGTGTGCGTGTGATGTACACACACACACACACACACATAAATGAAGTAAATAGGCATTTTGCGATAGATACCAAAATAAGAATTTCGAGCGACCGTAAGAGGACCATCGGACGCGACTGCTTGTCCGTTCGACAGATTGTGCAAATTTGTCGTACGAGTCGCGTGATGAGTCGCCGACCGAAAGTTTGTACCCGTGAATTCGTTCCGTGCTTATCGTGCAGGCCGATAAGAAATCAAATCGAATCGCCGGGGAGGGTAGTTCGCGAGTATTAGCGACGTTTCGAAGAGCCGTGATAGATCAGAAGATGAAATTTTCGCGGGTCCCGCACGCAGCACGACAACAAGGCATCATTCTCAATTAAATAAGCCACTTTCGTGGCCATACGATTGTCTCGCAACGAAAAGAATAGCAGTCGAGATCATCAGGGTCCCGACGTTCTCTCTCTCTCTCTCTCTCGAAACACTTTAATTCCCCGTCACACATGCGATCATTCTGACACGAAATACCTAATTCCACTTGAACGCACGTGGAACGTGCAAGTTGCTCGCTCGCATTCCAGAATTTTCTCCAAATTTTAATCTGGAAACTTCGGGTTTCTCTTTCACTCGGCGGAGTGTATTATTATTTTCAGACTGAGATCCCGCGTTTCCGTGAGAAAAGGGATGCAGAAGTCAGGTCTGAGGAATTTCCTTTGACGTGAGCGCGAAATTGTTTCACGAAGCAGCCTGATAACGCGAAATGATTACTCGCGTATGTTTGTCGTAGAGTAATAACCACCCTGAAAATCCGATCCCGTATTATCGGCCGCGCACTACAGCTTCGGCCAAAAACCCCCGAAGCGTTTTGATCTTGAAACTCCAGCGAGTCGGCCCACCTGTGAATTAAACTCCACGATATATTCCAAAACACTTTATCATGCTTTCGATAATTAAATGAGATTTAGATTACGATTATATATATAATTCGTAAGCACATACTTTATAAGCTTCACGTAAAGTACGAAAAGTCAAGTACAGGTCATAATAAGAGTAGAAAAAATCGAATACAGAGTGCAGTAAGAGTACAGAGTCAGATAAAGAGTACGGTGAGTGTTACAGTTTTCAAGTTTCAGAAAAAAACCCGTCAATTTTCTCAGCTTTTCCGCGGAATTTTCGGCTTCTGCCTCCCCCGAGAAAAAAGTATAAAAATTCGTTTAGATAGATTCACGCATGCTCAGTCGGAACCTGTCGCATTAATTTTCTTCCGCGAGCAAGAATATGAGATACCGAAAAGATCTCCTCGCAAAAATCTGAAGGAACAACGGGGTTCTTTTCTTCCGTAACATTGAAACTGATAGTAAGAGTACGCAAAGATTAAAGCGGAGCTGACGAATTACGGGACAAGTTCTCGTTCTTCGGCCGAATTTCTCGTGACTCCTTGGCGCGAGAACTTATCGCATCCTTCAGTTCGAGACGACCGCACAAGTGAAACTCGCCGATTCACCGAAGCTGTTTCGTGTATTTTGGCCGCGCCTGTATATTTTAATACGACGACTCTACGTATATGTGTGTGTGTATGTGTGTGTGTATCGAGCCTCTGACGGACGTATACACGGCGAATCGCGCCATTCGTTACACCGTGCAGTATTGCAGTAATTTCGCTCGGGTATCTCAAAGAAAATCGCACGGCCACGTTGCGTTACTGCGCAGTTATTTATTCATCGCGCTCCACGGCGCTTCCAAGTTCGACCCCGGGCGCTTTAGTGCCTCTCTCTTTCTCTCTCGCTCTCTCCCTCTCTCTCAAAACGGATCTCTCCCGAGACTTAATTGTGATCGCGTGATTTCGCCGTTTTCGCCGAGATCCTTGACGAGATAATTAATTTTGACAATTAGCCCGCCGGTTAATTTATCGCTCGCATTTATTACAACCTACGTTTTCGCGGCAATGACGTCGTCGTTGTGATTAATAGCTTCTCTCTCTCTCTCCTCTCTTCTTCTCTCCCCTTTTATGAATAAAGCCGGGAAAACAAAGCGAGCCGTCGCGCGGATCCCGCGATAATTTCGCGGCACCTTCTTCGTGATAACTCCCGGAACCGTTGAGAAACGTTCAACATTACACAGATCACCCGGGCTCCTTTAAACCGAACAGAATTAACACAATAGTCCTGCCATAACGAGGAAGCGCTTTCTACTTTCGCGCCACTTCGGCGTAATCGCCGTTTCGAACGAGCTGTTCACTACGAGTTGTGCCGGTCACTCGGTTCGGAAATGACGGGTATTCCCAGCTTCGTCTTTCTTTTCTCCCCTTTCTCTCTGCATAGTTCTCGAATTCACGTCGTTTCCTATTTTCTCGCCCTCGGTCGTCGTGAGCAGCCTCGCTCCACGTTCGACTTCGGACGTTATTCCGTGGAACAATTTTCTCCCCCTCCCCTCCTCTCGTCGAGAAGAATCACGGATGAAACGGGCGGAGTCTCTTCCGCGAAATTGTAACTCGTCGTTGAGGATCCGCCTGCATGACGCGATTTTATTGCATCGCGGATACGATGAGCGATGCGCGAAAAGGCGAGCGCGCGCGCTTCCGCGGAAAGTTTTCGCTCCGCCAGCCAAGGCACACACAGCCGAAGCGCCGAGGAAGTTCGTCCTATCTACACGGTCGCGCGAGATACAAGAGTTCCTTCACCCCGGCCAGTTATAAACCTCCACCTTCGGAAGCGGTCGAAGCGGCCGAGGTGTGTCTATCGATCGCGCGGGGATTTACATCGACGGGAGAGCCGTCGCTGGTCTCTCTCTCGAGTGCTCGCGAGCCGGGGGATAATAAATTGGAATCCCCGAACACTTCGTCCTTCGTCGTCGCGCGTCTTACGTCATAAGATCCCCGACGCTCGGCGAGAAAAATGTCCGACGAATTTCTTGCGACGTCCTCCACCTCCTCGTCCTCATATTTCCGATCGCCGAACGTGTCTTCCCTTGTCTTGTTTCTTTCGGACGATCGGATCAATCATTTCGAGCGCTTCTCCGACGCCTCGAATTCACGTCACCGTGAAAGCGACACGACGTGACCGACGTCCGTGGCCCTTTCGGGAATTCTAACGAGTTCGTTAACTTTGCACAAGGTAAGATCAGAACTGCACACTGGGAAAAGCGTTCGGGTAATGTCGGCCTCTGAAAATCTTAACCGGCTCGTTTTTTCGATTTTCCTGAGAGTTCAATTTTCGTTTTACCAATTAGGTTCCGATGAATAATTAACGGCGGCCGCGCGCTAGATCCGCGCCGAGCTGTGGAGTACGTTGCACCTCCTCATTCATTATTTATCGCATATCCACGATTCGTTACATATCGTCGGTGCGTCGATCAATTAGGGTATCGGCCGCGATCAGTTTCTCAACGTCGCGCCGGCGGCGGGTCTCCCCCGCCGCGCCGGCCGATCGTTATTATTATTACTCCCGTAATTGCACGCGGATTAAATTCTTTCTGCGCGAGAGATCTCACCCGCGCCGTAATTTCGTGTGATCTTATTACCGGCCGTTACGTTCCGGTGACTCAGAAGACCGCAATAGCGTGACGGCGCTGTAAGCTCTTACGGCTCTCCGCAACGCCGTGTTACGAACACACAACTCTAATCTCGCGAATTCCGGAAATCTCTCGAATAACCGCCCACGCTTTCGCATCGGCCGACTTTATTGGTTACTCACCGCCTTACTTCGGGGGAGCGCCGATATTATATCCCTGAAAGCATTCGCAAGGACGTTTAGCTTCTTACGTAAATCTCAGGGGGCGTTTTTCGGCAGAGTTTTATTTACGGGAGACTCGCGGGGAGCGCACAAAGAGAGAGAGAGAGAGAGAGGGAAGGCTCCCTTTTTCCTCCCCAACCGAAATCCCTTCTAACGCTTTTTGTGAATCTCCTCTAATGCTTTTGTGAACGGTTTTTTTTCCGTCGCAAGGCTATTCAGTTTCGCGTGCGTATTTCGCGAGGGAATTTCGCGTCGTTTCGCGAAAGAAATATCTCAGCCCGACGAAGGGTAGTTTAAGGGGGCTTTACAAAAATTGTAAATTGCTCGGGATCTATTGCGCTTAATCACGCACCGCGGGGGGTTGCGGGGGGAGGCATGGGAGAGGCGAGAATCGATATATGTCTATTTATAATCCATTATAACGCTCCCCATCATTTCCTCGCGATGATCGCGCAAGTATGTTTCAGCCCGCCGCGTTTCGGCATCATTAATTACAGCAACGTGTTCTTTCTTTTTTCCTTTTTACCGGCGAGATTAAACTTTTTTTTCCTTCCTCTGTCATTCGATCGATAGTTCCGGCGTGGGTGGAAAATAACAAACGCGTTGAGATGTATGGAGTTATTGCGAAATAATGCGTTCCTCGGATTCCAATTTTATCTGGTTTAAGTGACGTCGGAGGAAACATCGTCACATCGTGTTCCCCTCGAATTATTTCGAATTATTTCGATGAAAAATACTGCGTGTAAAAAATACTGCGAAAAAATTATATAGTTTCTTTGCACGGGGAGTTAACGTTCTTCCGTGTTTCGAGGAGGAGAATAATCCCGTGCGGGAGATTTATTCGCTAGAAAA